AACGAAAGCACGCACATAGAATAAACGGTTTACGTGGTTCGCTAACACAATGTGTGTTAGTTAGGTCACGGGCAGGAGAGAGCCAGTTTTACTATACGTCGAGAAGATACAGATTATAGAGGAGTATGGGAAGTATTTATAGTACTTCTTCTAGGTCTAACCCTAATCCAATCTGCTAAAGGAAAAGTAGTTACAGGCCTGGCCCAGAACCGAAACTCAATTAACATCGAGCCCATACACAGTGGACCCTTGTGACTTTCAGTCGTAGAGGCTGATAGTCCGATTCAAGTCACATCAATAAATCTCTACCTTGACTTGAATCCTCTTCCTCTAAAATCTATGATGTACTCTGATCCTTCTCTTTCTCCTGCCATCAATGGCCCGTTGGGCTGATTTACTCACTCAAGACATTCAGCAAGTCAAAGCATTGTTGGAACTTGCCATGTGGAACCGGCTTCGGGTACATGTCAGCAGGATTATCCGTGGTGCCAACCTTCTTCAGTTTAATCCTATTTTTTGTCCTCAAGACATGATACCTCACATCGATGTGCTTAGTCCTCTCATGATGGACTTGATCCTTGGCCAAACATATTGCACTCAAACTGTCGCAATACACTACTGCTTGATGAGGATGTAGACCCAGATCACCAACCAGTCCCTTCAACCATATTCCCTCCTTAGCAGCTTATGTCAACGCCATATACTCTACCTAAGTTGTAGACAATGTCACTGTCGGCTTCAGAGTTTCCTTCCAGCTCACTACAGAACACCCAAGAGTGAATACATAACCGGTCATCGATCTCCTAGGGTCAACATATCAAGCATAGTCAGAATCTGAATAACCAGCCACTAAGCACTCCGTATCACTTCTGAAGCAAATCCTCGCATTAGATGTACCCTTAAGGTATCGAAAGATCCTCTTCACAGCCTGCCAATGTTCCTTCGCAGGTTGTATCATGAACCTGCTGACAACACTAATAACATGTGCAAGATCGGGTCTAGTGCAGACCATAGCGTACATCAAACTACCAAATGCACTAGCATATGAGACTCTCAACATGTACTCCTTCTCAGCCCCTCGCTCCGGTGCAGAAACTGTGGATAGATGAACATTAGATGCACTAGGAGTATTCAAGGGTTTGCTAAAGACATGCCAAACCTGGACAGTATCTTCTGGATGTAGCTCTTCTGTGACAAGAATAGCTTCTTCTTCTTCTTCTTCTTCTTCTTCTTCTTCTCTTTATCCCTGTAAATCTTCATACCCAAAATCTTCTGAGCAGCTCCCAAATCCTTCATCTCAAACTCGGCACTGAGAAGCCCCTTTAATTTATGGATATCAGACTTCGGCCTCGCAAATATGAACATATCATCCACATATAGAACCAGATATATCATCGAACAATCAGCTGCCTTATTGTGATGTACACAACAATCATAGGGACTTTTGTTGTAGCCCAGCTCAAGCATGTAGCTGTCAAACCTCTTTTACCACTTTCTCGGACATTGTTTAATTCCATACAAGGAATCCTTCAATCATAGCGACTGCGCAACACGAAACTGCTTCTTTGTATGACTGTGGTTCACCCGCATCCACCTCTTCAACAACCTAAAAAGAATACGCCACCATGTCCTCAAAGTCATACCTCTATGGAGGTACTCCTTTAGACGCTCTCTTTGGTCTACCAGAAGCTATAGACTATTTAGCTCCTACACTAGACTCTGAAGTTTCTGGCTCATCAATAACATCTTCATGTTAATCTTCTCCACCTTGATGCTAAAACTCACTCCCTTTGAGAGTTAGCAACTTCACAAGTTTATCAACATTACTACTATATTCAACAAGAGTAACTTTGAACAAGGGGTTAAACATAGACTTCTCATCAAATAGCAAATTCCTGAACAAGTGTAACTTTATGCTCAGAAGGTGACGAGACTCGAAATCCCTTAACTACATCTCTATAACCCACAAAAACACCCTTCTTTGCTCTTGGATTCAGCTTACCCTCATCCACATGATAGTAAACACAACTATCAAAAACTATCAATGAAGAGTAATCAGTATGCTTACCTTACCACACCTTGTAAGGAGTTTTACACTCGATACCTGTGTGAGTTAAATAGTTGATGAGGTAGCACGTCATGTTTACTACTTCTGCATAGAACCTCCTCTCTAGTCCAACATTAGAGAGCATGCACCTTGCTCTCTCAAACAATGTCTGGTTCATCCTTTCTACAACGCCATTCTGTTGTGTTGTGTCTCTAATGGTCCGATGACGGGAAACCCTTCACCCTTGTAGAATTCGTTGAACTGAGAACTGCAAAACTCTACACCATTGTCCGTTGAAAGTTTCTTGATCTTCTTCCCTGTCTGATTCTCCACCAAAGTCCTCCACTGCTTGAACTTCGTGAAGACTTCACTTTTCTGCTTCATCATGAAAATCCAAGTAAAACTTGAATAATCATCAATAATCTTCTTCCCTGTCTAATTCAACTCGTGAAGGACCCCAACAATCAGAATGGAGGTAATTCAGTATTCCCTTCGTCAGGTGGATAGCTTTCTTAGGAAACTTGTTGCGATGTAGCTTCCCAAACACACAATGCTCACATAATTCCAAATTTTGCACCTTGTTCCCGCAAAGAAGATCCCTTTTCGACAAGACGATGCAATTGAAGTAGAACTTGACAACACAGACCCTTATAATGCATACAAGGCCCCACGCTTCACGCCCTTCAGCAACTTCCTTGAACCTTTGCAGACATACACAACTTCACCTCTTCCCTTGAAACTGACCCTTGCCGTCGAGAACACTCAAGGATATCAGATTCTCTGTCATCTGTGGTACATGCATGACTTCGTTCACGGTGCAGAAAAAACCATCATGTGTCCGAATCTTGATAGACCCGATTCCAACCACCTTGCAGACAACTCCATTCGCCATAACCACATTACGACCATCTATATGCTCGTAGGTTGAGAAGTAGTCCTTATTTGGAGACATATGATATGAGGTTGCGGTATCCATACACCACACATCCCCATGATGTTCCTTCTCATCTACAGCCAATGCTAGATCATCTTAAGAACTTTTGTCTATTTCTGTCACGCCAACAAAACATTCGTTCTTCTAATGCCCTCTCTTCCTAGAGCAGTTGTACTTTCAATGCCCCACTTCCTTACATATTGACAGGCATCGCTTGGTTGTAGTCTGGGACCCTTAGAATTCGAGTTTCTGTTCGAATTTGATTTACCAGATTTCTTCTTTCCCTTTCCACCTGTGACAGCCGACCCCGACGCTTCACCACCTGTACCAGATCCGGATGCCTTGTTTCTGATCTTTCTTGTGTGAAGAGCAGATCGGACATCCTCCAACGACAAGCCATCTTTACCAACAATAAAAGAATCCACGAAATTCTCATATGAACTCAGCAAAGAAAAAAGCAGGATTAGGGCAGCATCTTTACCTTAACATATATATTGCGTAAATCCAACAAAATAGAATTAAGTTATTCTAGATGTTCTCTCAATGGAGTATCTTCTTGCATCCTCAAGCAGAACAACCGCTGCTTGAGATGCAACTTGTTGGTTAGAGACTTAGTCATGTACAGACTCTCCAGCTTCAACCACAAGCCCGCTGCAGTCTTCCCAGCAGCGACTTCAATGATGAAGTCATCAGACAGCGATAGCATGATGGTCAAATGGGCCTTCTCCTCGAGAGTATTCCACTCATCGTCATCAACCGCTGTCTTCTTCTATTTCGCAGACAGTGGCCCCCATAGCCCTTGCTGTTTCAATAAACCTTGCATCTTGATCTGCCATATAGGGAAGTTGTTCTTCCCCGTGAACTTATTGATCTTCATGTTTACCGAAGTCATTCTTCAGAATCAAAACACTAGCATGATTTCCAATCAGCGCTCTCATACCACTTGTCGAAATCGGGCTGCTCAATTAGTACGATATTGTCCGCTTGGGGCCAAGTCCGCACGGTTTTACTCTTGGATTTCTTCCCCCAAAAGGCTTTGTACTACTTGAGTTAGATGGACACTAATATACAAGGGTCCCTTCCCTTGTATCACCGATGTGGTACTTGGATTGTCCCATAACAATCCACCCCTTAAGACAAGGACCACGAACTTCGTGTCTTCAACTCAACAATTGTCTTGATCCACCAAACACCTTGTATCGATGGTCTTCTAGGTACAAGGATTTTCCCAGACGGAGAAATATCCTTGATCTGCTTCCTAGACGCAGAACTCTCTTTGATCCGCCAAACTCAAACAGACATGGATCTCACCTGGATCCACCAAACAGATGCATATCTCAAATCTCGAGGTCACCGAATGAGGGTCCACCAAACTGACGTCTGTCATCCTGAACCGAACCATGCTCTGATACCACTTGTCACGTTTGTTGCTCTGTGGATCGGGAAATTGGAGGTTTTGAAAATTCAAGAAAACGAAAGCGCACACACATGTATGTTAGCTAGTCCACGGACAGGTTAGAGTCAGTTTCACTATACTTCGAGGAGATATAGATTACAAAGGAGTATAAAAAGTATTTATAGTACTTCTCTTAAGTCTAACTCTAATTCTATGTTATAAAAAAAAAAGCAGTTACAGACCAGGCCTAGAACTCGAACCCAAATAACATTGAACCCACACATCGCGGCTTCGGTCACTTCCAGTTGTAGTGGCTAATAGTTGAATTCAAACATCCGAACAAACCCATTTGTATTATATCAAAATTATTTGATCGCTTCGTTGATCAATTTCGAACAAAAAGAGGCATAAATATATTTAACAACGAATCGAACATTTCCCTTCAAATAACAGCACAAACATTTTCTTACCCACGTCCGCCTTCCACCAAAATGCACCTTTTTGGCACCATTCCCATTCCGAATTCCCTATATAAAACCTTTCTCTTCCAACCCAATTCTCAACTCATCAAGCAGTAGATCGAAATCAACCATCCTTCAAAGCTCAAACAAAGAAATATCAAGATGGCCACATTTCATCACCACTCTTTTCTCCTCTCCATCATCCTCGTAACCCTATCTGCCGCCGGGACCGCCGCCGTGAAATTCCACATCGCCGCCGCCACCCCGGCCATCAGGTCCACCTTCAACCGCCGCATAGGGATCCGCTACGCCACACAGACGATGACCACAGCCTCCAGCTTCCTCTTCAAGACGTTCAACCAGCGCGACGTGGCCGACCGCAAGCCTTTCCGAAACGTCACCGTTTCCATCGACAACTCCGCGGACCACGGTCTCGTGGTCAACAACAAGAACGGCACAGAGACCAACGAGTTCCGCATCGGAGTCAACTGCTTCTCCAACGTCAGCTCCTCCACCGCAGCGGCCAGGCGGCTGGAGTTCTCGGGATTGGTGTACCACTACATGACGTACGTGTGGGGATGGAACGGTGGAGGGAAAGCGCCCGCCGGGCTGATGTCCGGGACGGCGGATTACGTGCGGTGGAAGGCTGGTTTCGGGCTTCCGGAGAAGGCGGCGGGCGGCGCGGGGGAGAGGTGGGACCAGGGTGACGATGTGACGGCGAGGTTTTTGGACTATTGCGGCGGTTTGAAGAATGGGACGACGAGGTCGTTTGTTGCGGAGATGAATAAGTTGTTGAAGGATGGATATAGCGACGGGTACTTTAAGCAGCTATTGGGAAAGAGCGTCGGTGATCTTTGGCGGGAGTATAAGAATGCCGTTGGCAAAGACGGTCGGTTCAAACCGATTTTGCACTGACTTTTGGTTTGCACGATAATTAGTTACGGATTACGATCGAGCTTTTTGATGTGTGGTTGGTAAACTTAATGGTAACGTTACAGAGCTTTTTGGGATTAATATATCAATGTTGGTTTGGGAATACGCACAAGAAATTGAAGAATTAATACGCTAATTTTTTTTAATTACTTCCCTTCAGTATGGTTTTTGTTTATTTACTTTTTCTCATAATTTATACGGGTGTTTATGAGTGATTGATTGATATTTGGAAACAAGTTCTAAGTTCTAAGTAGCTTTTTACTCGCCCGTTGGGTGGCGCATTTGTATTGGTGTTTTAGTTTTTCGTTCTATTATTTTTTTTATGATTTATGTATGTTAAATTATTATGCATTGAATTATTAATCTAACTTACTTGATTTTACGTATTGTTACACACTTTATATCTTTTGTTTATTTATAAAATTTTTATTTTATTAAATGAGCTCTCGGTAGATCTTTCTTTATTTATTTATAAGTTGTTATCGAACCCACAATTTAGAATATAAACATAAGAGGGTTAATTGTAAGATTGGTCACTGAGATTACTAAAAACGTTCATGTTTAGTCACTGGAAATATTTAATTCCAATCATGGTCACTAGATTTTATAAAACAATTCAAGTTTGGTCACTCTCCGTTAGTTTCCGTCCATCTCCGTTAACACCGTCAGTTAACTGCTGACATGCCTAACATAAATGCTGATTCATCCTATTTTAACCTGCCACATCATAAAATCCGACCCGCCACTTCAAAACTCGCCACGTCAGTTTTTCCAAACCAAACCCAACCCTTCCCAATCCGTGATCTGACCCTAAACCCTACCACCGGCTCCCCATCTTCTCTCCATTTCCATTTTCCAACCAATGTCCCCTTCAATCTTCCGGCCACTCACCTGTTCTCTCTTTCTTCGTGGATTGATGTTGGTGGATCCGATTGACGGCGTGCGGCTGTGATGATGATTAAGAGTGGCGGAAAGAGGGAGGCCAATTCCTCGATGGCATTCACAACACTGGTGCCTTGCCCTTCTATTCCTCATCCTCAATCCTCACCACTAGCAGAGACTTATCGGCAAAGAGTGGAGATGACGAGGATTCCTCTCCCAATCGAATATGCAGCAGCAGAGCAAGATTTTTCCCCTTTTCTGGCTTTAAAGGGATACGATTTTTGGCAAGATTCAGGACGCAATCTTATGGGTTTCTTCTTTATTCTCCGACAGAGGCACATATCTGATGGGGACAGAGCCCAGAGTCATCTTCCCTCTGGAGTTCAAGCGCCAACTCCTCGAGCTGGCTCCGCGTTGGAGTTCCGCCGCCGTCGAATGAATTCGGCGATGAAGGCGGCTCTTGGGTTCTTCCTTTCTTCTAGCGTTCGTGAGAGCTAGAGGCCGCGTTGCGGTACTTCTCCAAGGTGTGATCCAAGCAGCTCTCTTTTCCTTCAAATTTTCCCACCGCCGCCGACGTCGTTGTTGCTCAAACATCATCGTCGATGAAATGCCCCTTCCCCCGGCGAATCGAAGGCGTTGGCTCTCTCAATCCAGATCTACGGCCGCGTTGTTTCCTTCTTCGCCATCTTGAAAGTCCCCAACCAGACCTGTGATGCGCTCGATGGTCTACTTCGTCTCGATCCCGCCGAACGAGGAAGTTGAACAGACATCAGCGTGTCGGTGGTGGCGGAGAGGGAGGAGGAGAAGAAGAGGTCGTCTTCTTGCAGCAGTCAACATTAAAGAAGAAGAAACAAGAGTGCTTCTCGTTTCCTTCGAAGAAATTCATGGAAGAAGAAGAAATATGGCAGTGTTTGGTAGATCTGGAGAGGACGGTTAGGGTCAGATCACGAGTTGGGAAGGGTTGGGTTTGGTTTGGAAAACTGACGTGGCGGGTCGGATTTTATGATGTGGTGGGTTAAAATGGGATGAATCAGCATTTTTGTTAGGCACGTCAGCAATTAACTGACGGTGTTAACGGAGATGGACGGAAATTAACGGAGAGTGACCAAACTTGAATTGTTTTATAAAATCTAGTGACCATGATTAGAATTAAATATTTTCAGTGACTAAACATGAGCGTTTTTAATAATCTCAATGACCAATCTTGTAATTAACCCGAACATAAGATATTATTAATCTTTTAGCACACAATAGTGACAAAGAAGTTTAAAAAATATTAAATAAGAAAATATGTTTCAATTAATAAAAAAATAAGCAAATAGCTTTTCATTCTTCTCCCATCTCGTACGTTGCTATATGATAATATATTATATCGCGCTCTAAATCCCATGAATATCGTACACTATCAGTTACTTGTGCAATTTTGAAAGGATGAGGAAACACATTAGCATCCACATCATCAATCTCCTACTTATTCATTTAATTTATCTTCAAAATGTTCTAGCATAAACAATAAAAAATATAACTATTAGTTGTCACTATTTTATTAAAATGATATTTTTTTAGCAAACTAAATTGCATATAAACACAATTTATATTTGTAGAGAATTACATACCCCTTCAAAAAAACAATGGTGTAATTTTTTTTACCTAATAACAACATAGACGAATTGTAAAAGTTGCATACTTAAATAAAACTCAACGCATTGTATCTTGTAAAATCTTCATTCATGAAAACAATTGATGCATCAATCCAAATAGTTGTCAAGAAAACGATCAGGGCAAAATTGAGTTTTAGTTAGGGATTCAATTAGGAAAAAGTTCATGCTAAGGAAACAAACAAATGTCATTGCAAACGTGTAGAAATTGAAAGAACGTCGACGTAAACAACTTAGAGACTACCACCATCATTTTCTTTCTCCTTCACACCTTTATAAAACCTCACATGTGTTCCCTTCTACTTATAACCCCCAACTACGTTTTACTTACTAACCAGATCATAATCATATAGGTAGTGGCATGTCACTCATGGACATAATAAACAACCCTAACAACTCTGCTTTCCATTTTATCATCCACGGAATTGGGATGCAATAGGCAAGTAAAATGATCAATTATTTAACCAAAGGAGAGATACTCTAAGTCCAAGCAATAAACCATTCCAATTGTCTATTACAAGTTTACATAAAAGTATACAATATAGGGAACCATAAAACAACTAACTGAAAACCCAAGAGAAATACATTAATTGATTTGAGCATAGAATTTTACCATCAAGTTGTTGTACTCTGGAAGAAATCAAGAAACAAATGGAAAGAAGAGTTTAATATGGCCAGTCAACTGCAAACAACCACATATCTCTAGGAAAAGAGACCAGTTTTCAACTACAAATTAAGGGTGAAGAGGAGGGAGCAATGAGCAATCATCGACTTCATTCAATTCATCTTCGCAATGATAGGATGAACTTTTTTAGTTACAGATGCTCAATTGTATCACATCTAATCATTGTCTCATGTAACTCCACCCTCATATTCTCTTACAAAGAGTAAAAACTAAATATGCCTTACTATTTGCTTTCCTGTATCTGTTTGAAAAAAAAAGTAGAGAAAAGAAATGCTACAAATCTTAGGATTTTGATGAAATAAGAAGAGAGGTTTGTTTGTTTTTATGTGGCTTGATCCAATTTCATTATTTTCAATGTTGCACTTTATTTTTATAGAGATAATTTGTATGAGAAAAGGAATAGGAACAAACCAAAATGTTGCATTCTGTGTTATTAACTTATTTTATGTTTTATTTATAATAATGGCAATTTAAAGAGTAAACAAAAAATTATATAAGCAAGAATTAGAACTTGTCCACTATGGAAGGGTGAGAGCTAGCCATTTGTTGACATGACACTAATTTAGTTTTAAATTCCTATAAGATTAAGTAATGGTGATTTATAATTTTTTGAATTTTTTATAAACTTTTAAGAATTCATACAAATATTGTGACATTTCACATACATGTATATTCTTGGATGTATTGTAAATAAATTTATTGTAAATACAACTTGCTTACTGTTACAAAATAGAAAATTCCTATTTGATACTTTGATATTGAAAAAGTTTTTATTATTGCCAACTAAATCACATGTATCATTTTTTAAGATATATTGTGTCTTGTCTTAAGGTATGAAGTCAAAGTTTGTCAAAACTCATACTTAAGTCATCTAAATCAAATATTTTAATGTGAACTTATACAAAATTATAAAATATTGCACATGATTACTCTTCCTTTGAGAAATTTCAGGTAGAACATTAATATATGTTTTTATTTAATCGGGATGAATATAAATGTTTTTAAGAAATTATTATTATTTTTCGATTAAGTTATATTCTGACAATTATTTTATTATATGAAATAATTAGTTATATACAACTATTTTAACTGGTAGATATATATATTATAAAAAATTATAATAAGAGAATGTTTAATATATAAATTCATATATTTCATTTTTCAAAATCGATTGATTGTCAAACGCTTGATTTATTTCTTTGTGTCGTTATATTTTATTTAATATACAAAGATATTATTATTTATGTTTGTATTTCTTTAAATTTTTTATCAAAATATAACATATTATTAAGTTTTTGGTTAAAATGAGTAGATAATTTATTTGATAAGATTTAATCATATATTTTTTGTTTAAACAAACCCGATATATGTTATTCTTTGTTTCCATCTATATATTTAGTTTAATTGAAAAAAATATTATTATTTATGCTTGTTTTTACTTACATTCTTAATGTAACTTATTATTAATGTTGAGTAAAAGTGATCATAAATACTAAAAGAAGAGAGAGATAACTTCATAAATAGATCAATAATAAAAAAATTTGGTAGTAAAAAAAAAGTTCACCTAAGTAACTTGTTATTTCTCCAAGTGCTTATGTGACCGAAAGTTACTTTTGAATTGTCATAATATATAGTATAGATAGATAGAGATTTTTTGAATATTAAAAGCAGCGGATTGTAGAAGAGCGGTTAGTGACTCAATTTAAGAAGGGTCTTCAACTCAAGTCCACTCACTATATACTCACTAAAGACTTAAG